TAAAGCCGCGATCAGTACTGTTCGTGATGGTATACGCCGCACACGCAGCCAAGCCGCGACTCGTTCATCTAATCGACTCTTTCATCTGATCGACTCGACCAGAAAGTCAAGTCGGTCAGAAATTCAAGGTGATCAGAAATTCAGGTTGATTAGAAAAGACATATTGATGAGAAAGTTCAGTCGATGAATATATACAGCTTCCGTGTTATCCACGACGACCTCCCTTACCCCGCTTGATCATGTTCGCGTACTCGCGTTTCACCGTCGCTATGGGCACACTGGACGACATACATTAGCACATCGCTCGCCGTCGTACCTGCGCCGCGCGCCACTCACCGCTTGCCCTCCGTCGTTCTCGTTTCGCCCGCAGCCGCCGCATCTGGCGGTCGAAATACCCCAGCCCTGGCCGCCAAAACTTCCAGAACGTCAGCGAAATCCCGCGCCAGGCGCTCCCAGCCCTCTACTTCATCCTTGCGCTCGTTCTCCTTGATGTCCCAGCCCCAGGACAATAGGGTCACGACGAGAAGTCGCACGCCGTCAGCTCCTGCTGGTAGATGCCCGTCCCACCCCTCCGTCTCTCTAGCGCCGCGAACCAGCGTCCATCCGGCACCTTGACGTTCACTGGGCTGCTGCGTGACCCACTGCCGGGGTAAACACTCGTTGACGTCGTGATCCAACGACAGATTCGCCCCAGTCTCACCAGGCGAGGCCCGTCTGCACCAGGTTACCCTCACTCGTCTGCGAAGGTCCGCAACATACGCCGGCCTGGCGCCAATACCGCCTATCTCCTTCAACTCGATGGACCCTTCTTTCTATACAGAATTAGTACTTTTAGGGCTTCACGTGAAGAAGACGATTTACCGCGTTACTGGATTCGTATTCCAGGTACATCCGAACGACTCGACGCGCCAAACCCACGTCTACTTCGCCACCGAGCCTCTTGGCCGCGTTAGCAAGGTAACTCGTCATGCTCGTCCTCGCAAACCAGTACTTGCGTTTGTCTAGGGTCGCGCACAACTCTTGGCAGACCGTGTCTCGGTGCTTTAACGGTGAGCTGTCAGCACCATACGCACGCCTACCATTCAAACTAACGCACCTGCGTTAGTATAGGACGCAATGAGTGCGCGGTCTGGGACGCCGATGAAGCTGCTGTCACGGCGTCGATCATCGCAGCGTCAGATGCGGCAGATCGCCCGCCGATCCTGGCGCGCGCCACGGGAGGCGCTTGGCTTAGTTGCATCGAGTCGTCTTCGCCGCCATCACTCGCCACCGCGGTCTGGGACGCCGATGAAGCTGCTATCACGGCGTCGATCATCGCAGCGTCAGATGCGGCAGATCGCCCGCCGATCCTGGCGCGCGCCACGGGAGGCGCTTCGCTTAGTTGCATCGAGTCGTCTTCGCCGCCATCACTCGCCACCGCGTCCCCTACCTCATCTTCGCTTTCGTAGTCC